GGGACTTGAAGGAACATCATTGGAAAATTGGAGACAAGGAGCTATGAGAAAGAGGTACATGGATAGACCTCTCTGAATGGGCCAAAGAAGTGAAGATAGTTGTGTCTCATGTGAATGCTAACCAAAGTTTGATCTCAGCAGAGGAGGATTTTAACAATTAAGAGGATAGGATGATGTGTTCTGTGGAAACCAGTTATCGTCTTTCCCCTGCCACTCCCTTCATTGCCCAATGGGCTCATGAACAAAGTGGTCATGGGGGCAGGGTTGGAGGTTATGCATGGACTCAGCAACCTGAACTTTCATTCACCAAGGCCGACTTGGCTACAGCCACTGCTGAGTATACAATCTGCCAGCAACAGAGACCAACAGTGAGTCCCTAATATGGCACCATTTCTCGAGGTGATCAACCAGCAACCTAGTGGCAAGTTGATTACACTGGACTACTTCCATCATGGAAAGCGCAGCATTTTGTTTTTACTGGGATAGACACTTACTCTGGATATGGATTTCCCTTCCCTGCATGCTAGGCTTCTACCAAAACTACCAACTGTGGACTTACAGAATGCCTTATCCACCATCATGGTATCCCACACAGCATCACTTGGATCAAGGAGCTCACTTCACAGCAGATGAAATGGAGCAATGAGCCCATGCTCGTAGAATTCCCTGGTCTTACCACATTCTGCATCATCCTGAAGCAGCTGGCTTGATAGAACGATGGAATGGCCTTCTAAAGACACAATTATGACACTGGCTAGGTGGCAATGGAGCCCTGGTGGTGCAATGGTTAAGAGCTTGACTGCTTTCCAAAAGGTCGGCAGTTCCAGCAACCGCTCCTTGGAAATTCTATGGGGCAGTTCTACTCTGTCTTATAGGGTTGCTATGAGTCGGAATCGACTCAACGGCCATGGGTATGGTTTAGGTGACAATACTTAGTGTTGGGGCAATGTTTTCCAGGAGGCTGTATATGCTGTAAACCAGGGTCCAATATATGGTGCTGTTTCTCTCATAGTCAGAATTCATTGGTCCAGGAATCAAGGGGTAGAAATGGGAGTGGCACCACTCACTATTACCCCTAGTGATCCACTCATAAAAATTTTGCCTCCTGTCCCCACAACCCTATGCTCTGCAGGTTTAGAGGCCTTATTTTCAAAGGGAGGAATGCTCCAACCAGGAGACACAACACTGATTCCATTGAATTGGAAATTAAGAATGCCACCCGGCCACTTTGGGCTCCTCAGGCCTCTGGATCAACAGGCAAAGAAGGGAGTTACTATATTGGCTGGTGTGAGTGATCCTGATTACCAAGGGGAAAATGGATTGATATTACATAATGGAAGTAAAGAAGAATATGTCTGGAATAAAAAAATCTCTTAGGACGTCTCTTAGTACCATCATGCCCTGTGATTAAAGTCAACAGAAAACTACAGCAACTCAATTCCGACATGACTACTAATGGTTCAGATCTTTCAGGAATGAAGGTTTGGGTCACCCCACCAGGCAAGGAACCACAACCAGCTGAGGTGTTTTTTAAAGGCAAGGAGAATAAGGCATGGGTGGTGGAAGAAAGCAGTTCTAAATACTAGTTACTATCACGTGATCAGTTGCAGAAACTAGGACTGTAATTGTTATATGAATATTCCTTCCTTGTGTGTATCAAATATTTTTGTTTTCTTCACTTATAAAATCTAAGATGTAAATGGGGCTAGTGCGTTTTTGGTTGTACGCATGTTAGTTGTATGATGTTAGGCATATGACTTTGTAATTGTCTTTATTTAGAGATTGTGTATGGTTTGGAAACCCTGGTGGCGTAGTGGTTAAGAGCTATGTCTGCTAACCAAAAGGTTGGCAGTTCGAATCTACCAGGCGCTCCTTGAAAACTCTGTGGGGCAGTTCTACTCTGTCCTATAGGGCTGCTATGAGTCAGAACGACTCAATGGCATCAGGTTTTTTTTTTTTTTTTTTTTGGTGTATGGTTTAAGGAGATGTGTATAGGTGCCAAGTTGACAAGGGGTGGACTGTGATGGTTAAGGTTGTGTGTCACCTTGGCTGGGCCATGATTCTCAGTGGTTTGGCAGTTACATAATGATGTAAATTGGCAGTTATGTAATGATGTAGTTACCCTCCATTTTGTGGTATAATGTAATCATCTCTATGATGTGATCTGATGTGATCAATCAGTTGTAAAGGGAGTTTCCTCAGGGTTGTGGCCTGTATCCAATATATATGGACATTCTGACAAAACTCACTGGCTTTTGCTCCACTCTGGATGCTGCATTTGTCTCGTCATCATCTGACCTCTGATTCTTGGGATTTGAGCCAGCTGTATTACTTGCCAATCTTGAGATCTGTTGCCTCCAAAGCCTATGAGCCAGCAACCTGCCATCTGACCTGCTGATCTTGGGTTCTTCAGCCTCTGCAATTATGTGAGTCAGGAGAAGCCTCCAGCCTCACGCCTGACCCGTAGACTTGGGACTTGTCAGCCTCTACAACTGCATGATCCATTTCCTTAAGATAAATCTCTCTCTCTTTATGTCTCTTTCTCTCTCTAAGAACCCAACCTAAGACAGCATTATTCTATTGTATGTATGTACCACGTTTTGTTTATACAGTCATCTGTTGGTGGGCATTTAGGTTGTTTCCACCTTTTGGCTATTGTGAATAGTGCTGCAGTGAACATTGGTGTACAAGTCTCTTTTTGAGTCTCTGCTTTCAAGTCTTTTGGGTATATACCTAGAAGTGGAATTGCTGGGTCATACGGTAGCTCTATTTTTAATGTTTTGAGGCACCACCACACTGCTTTCCACAGCAGCTGTACCATTTTCTATTCCCATCAGCAATGGATAAGTGTTCCAATTTCCCCACATCCTCACCAACATTTATTATTTTGTTTTTAATCTTAGCCATCCTAGTGGGAGGGAAATGGTATCTCATTGTGGTTTTGATTTGCATCTCTCTGATGGCTAATGATGATGAGCATCTTTTCATGTGTTTGGTGGCCATTTGAATGTCCTCTTTGGTGAACTGTCCAGGTCCTGCGCTCATTTTATGATTGGGTTGTCTTTCTGTTGTTCAGCTGTCAGAGTTTTACATATATTTGGTTATTAGATTTTTGTCAAACATATGGTTTCTGAAGATATTCTCCCAGTCAGTAGCTTGTCTTTTCATTTTTTTTGTAAATCCTTTTGATGAGCAAAAGTTTTTTTTTTTTTTTTTTTGCATTCTTTTTTATTGTAGTTTAGGTAAAAATTTACAGAGCCAATTTGTTGCTCGTTAAAACAGTACACAGATTGTTTTGTGACATTGGTTGCCAGCCTTGCAATGTGTCAACACTCTCCCCTTCTCCATCCCAGGTTCCATGTTTCCATTCATCCCATTTTCCTGTCCCTTCCTGCCTTCTTGTCTTTGCTTTTGGTCTGGTGTGCCCATTAGTCTCATATACATTATTGAACTATGAAGTACGTCTCTCACGTGTGTTATTGTTGGCCCTATAGACTTGTCTAAACCTTGACTGAAGGGTGAACCTCAGCAGTGACTTCAGTACTGAGTTAAAAAGGTGTCTGGAGGCCATACTCTTGGGGTTTCTCCAGTCTCTGTCAGACTAGCAAGCCTGATCTTGTGTGTGTGTGGTGTGTGTGTCTGAATTTGAATTTTTTCTACATTTTTCTCTCTCTCTGAGACTCTCTATTGTGATCCCCACCAGAGCAGTCAATGGTGGTAACCAGGCACCATCTAGTTGTTCTGGGCTCAGTCTGGTAGAGGATGTGGTAGTTGTGGTCCATTAGTCCTTTGGACTAATCTTTCCCTTGTGTCTTTGGTCGTCTTCATTCTCCTTTGCTCCAGCCGGGATGTGACCAGTAGATGTATCTTAGATGGCTGCTTACAGGCTTTTGAGATCCTAGTCACTACTCACCACAGTATGGAAAACATTTTCTTTATAAACTATGTTACGCCAATTGAGCTAGATGTCCCCCAAGACCATGGTCCCCAGCACTCAGCCTAGTAGCAGGGTCTCTCAGGACGTTTCAATGTGTCTGTGAAGCTTCTGTGATTTTGCCCTGGTCAAGTTGTGCTGACTTCCTCAGTATTGTGTACCATCTTACACTTGACCAAAGTTACAAATTATCTACTATCTAGTTGGTGTTTTTCCCTCCCCATATGTCCCCTCCCTCGTAACCATCAAAGATTGTTTCTTTCTGTGTGGAAACATTTTCATGTGTTTTTATAATAGTGGTCTCATACAATATTTGTCCTTTTGTGACTGACTTATTTCACTCAACATAATGTCCTCCAGATTCACCATGTTGTGAAATGTTTTGCAGATTCATCATTGTTCTTTATCATTGAGTAGTATCCTATTGTGTGTATGTACCATAGTTTATCCATTCATCTGTTGATGGGCACTTAGGTTGTGTTCATCTTTTTGCTACTGTGAATAGTGCTGGAATGAACATGGGTATGCATATGTCTATTCATGTGATGGGTCTCATTTCTCTAAGATAGATTTCTAGGAGTGGGACTGCTGGATCTTATGGTATTTTTATTTCTAGCTTTTTAAAGGAAGTGCTCTATCATTTTCCAAAATGGTTGTTCCAATTTGCATTCCCACAAGCGGTGCATAAGAGTTCCAATCTCCCAGCAACCTCTCCAATATTTGTTATTTTCTGTTTCTTTGATTTGTGCCAGTAATGTCGAGGTGAGATGGTATCTCATTGTAGTTTTGATTTGCCTTTCTCTAATGGCTAGTGATCATGAGCATTTCCTCACGTATCTGTTAGCCGCCTGAATGTCTTCTTTAGTGAAGTATCTGTTTATAGCCTTTGCCCATTTTTTAATTGGATTATTTGTCTTTTTATTGTACAGGCGTTGGATTTTCCTATAGATTTTAGAGTTTAGACCTTTATCAGATATGTCATAGCCAAAATTCTTTTCCCAGTCTGTAGGTTCTCTTTTTACTCTTTTGGTGAAGTCTTTTGATGAGCATAAGTGTTTAATTTTTTAAAAATATGGAATGCTTCATGAATTTGTGTGTCACCCTAGTGCACGGGCCATTCTAACCTTCTCTATATCCTTCCAATTTTACTATATGTGCTTCGAAATGAGCACCAAAGGTTTTTAATTTTTACAATGTCCTATTTATTTTGTCTTTTGCTGTTTGTGCTTTTGTTATTAGACAATCCACTGTTGAAAGCTAGGCTCGACAGCATTGCCCCTGCTGGTTCTTCTAAAAATTTTATGATTTTAGTTTGCACATTTAGGGCCTTAATCCATTTTGTATTTGTGTATGGTGTGAGGCATGGATACTGTTTCATTTTTCTGCAGTTGGAAATCCAATTTTCCCAGTACCATTGAAGAGACGCTTCTTTCTCACATCAAATGAACTTAGCACCCTGTCAAAAATCAGTTGACCATAAATCTGTGGGTTTTATTATCCAGACTCTCAATTATAATCCATTGGTCTATGTGTCTATTGTTACTCCAGTACCGGGCTGTTTTGATTACTGTAACTTATAGTATGTAAAGTCAGGAAGTGTGAGACCTCCTTTGTTCTTCTAACATTTTTTTTTAGCTATTCAGGCCCTCTTGCCATTGCATATAAAGTTGAGGATTGGTTTTTCTATTTCTGTAAAGAAGGCTATTGGAATTTTGATCGGGATTGCATTGAATCTATATCGCTTTGGGTAGTATTGACATCTTAACAATATTAAGTCTTCCCATCCATGAACATAGAACATCTTTCTATTTATTTAAGTCTTCTTTAACCTCTTTCAGGGGTGTCTTATAGTTTTCACTGTATAAGTCCTTCATGTCCCTGGTTAGATTTATTCCAGAGTATTTTATTCTCTTAGATGCTGTGGTAAATGGAGTTGTTTCCCGAATTTCCCTTCCAAATTTCTCATTGTGGTTGTACAGAAACCCAACTGCTTTTGTTTGTTGACCCTGGTACCCTGCAACTTTGCTAAACTCCTTTATTAGCTCCAGAAGTTTGAGAAATGGGTCCTTTTATGGAGTGTAAATTGAAGGAAGCAAATTTACTACATCCACTAAAAATTTAAATCTACATAATTTTAATCCAGAAATTCCAATAAATAAGGCAAAGCTATAATACAGGATTGAAAAGGTGTCTCACATATAATATTAAGTGAAAAGTTGCAAAATAATACCAGAACCAGCTGTCCTTGAGTTGACTCCAACTCATAGCGACTCCATGTGTCATGGTAGAACTGTTGCTCCATAGGATTTTCAATGGCTGATCTTTCAGCAGATTTGCCAGGCCTTTCTTCCAAGGCACATCTGGGTGGACTAAAACTGCAACCTTTCAGTTAGGCAAAATAATAGAGATGGCGAGAAAAACAAAAAGTCACATACAGATGAGAAACGATAAGACTAAGTTCAGATTATTCAGCACGAACCATGCAGGCAAGCAGGCAATGAGATAACATATAAAACCTTGAAAGAAAAAAATTGCCAGCCAAGAATAATATATCCTGCAAAACTCTCATTCAAATATGATGGTGAAATTAGGACATTT